TTGCTTGCAACTCATAGCGACCCTGTGTACAACAGCTCTAACTCTGCTCTGTCCTGTGCCAATCGCACTGTCTCCAACACACCCATCCAGATTACCCCAGTCACTGAATCAATCCACCTCCCAGAGGGCCATCCCCTCCTGCACCTGTCCTCCACCCTCCCAAGCATGATGTTCTTCTCCAAGGACATGTCCAAAGTATGTCAGATGAAGCCCCAGAATCCTTGACTCCAAGGATCAGACAGGTTTAACCCTTTCCAGGATGAATCTGTTTGTTTTCTTCACAGTCCATGGTACCTTCAACACTCTTCTCCAGCACCACAGCTCAAAGGCATCAATTCTCCTTCTATGCTCCCTGGTCATTGTCCAGCTCTCTGATGCATAAAAAGTGATAGCAAAGACCATGGCCTGTATCAGACGCACCTAAGTCTCCAGAGAGACAACCATTGTTCTTCAGTATTTGGAGGCATAGTTAAGTATAATTCTTAGAGAGACCTAAACAACTTGTGGGATTGATTTTACTGGGTTTAAAGTGCTAGGACTATAGAGTGAAAGGCCAACAGGGCCAATAGGCTCAATTTAGTTGATTGGCCCAATGTTATCTTAAGGTTCTACATCCTAATTTGATGAGTAGTATCTGGGGTCTTCAAAGTTTGCAAGTGGCCATCTAAGACACAATGGGTCTCTTCCTATCAGTGCAACAGGCAGTGAAGGAAATCAAAGACTTAAAGAAGAACTTGTCCACAAGATTAATGTCCTAGGTGAACCATGCTTGTAGCCTGTGAGGCTCCAGTCACTAGATTGTACCCAGCTACCACTACCAACTAGTTTGATCAGGGACAAAATATCTGTGTTTCATTGATTATGCAAAGGCATTTGACTGCGTGGATCATAACAAACTGTGGCTGACTCTGAGAAGAATGGGAATCCCAGAACATTTAATCATGCTAATGCGAAACCTATGCTTGGACCAAGAGGTAGTCGTCAGAACAGAGCAGGGTAACACTGCATGGTTCAAAATTGGGAAGGGTGTATGCCAGGGATGTGTCCTATCTCCATACCTTTTCAACCTGTATGCAGAGCAGATTATCCGAGAGGCGGGGCTCTATGAGGAGAAGTGTGGCGTTAGGATTGGTGGACGATCTATCAACAATCTGCGTTATGCAGATGACACAACCTTGCTCGCTGAAACTGAGGAGGACCTCATGCACTTGCTGCAGAGGGTCAAGGACTGCAGCCTTCAATATGGACTGAGGCTCAATGTCAAGAAGACAAAAATTCTCACCACTGGACCAATCGGTAGCATCAGGATGGATGGCGAAGAGATTGAGATTGTTCACAGCTTCAGTTTGCTCGGCTCCACAGTCAACACACTTGGCACCAGTAGCCAGGAAATAAAAAATCGTATTGTGATGGAAAAGTCTGAAGTTAGGAACCTGTCCAGAATACTCAAGAGCAACAGTGTCTCTCTGGAGACTAAGGTCCGCCTGATACAGGCCATGGTTTTTGCAATCACTTGTTATGCATCAGAGAGTTGGACAATGACTAGGGAGGATAGAAGGAGAATTGACACCTTTGAGCTGTGGTGCTGGAGAAGAGTATTGAATGTACCATGGACTGCCAAGAAAACAAACAGATTCATCGTAGAGAGGGTTAAACCAGGTTGCTCCTTGGAGGCAAGGATTCTGGGGCTTCGCCTGACATACTTTGGACATGTTGTAAGGAGAGACAGGTCTTTGGAGAAGGACATCATGCTGGGTAGAATAGAGGGACAGCGCAGGAGCGGAAGACCCTCTATGAGGTGGATTGATTCAGTGACTGGGGATGGGTGTTGTCGGGGGCAGTGAGATTGGCACAGGATAGAGCACGGTTTAGGGCTATTGTATATAGGGTCGCTATGAGTCGCAAACGACTCGATGGCACATAACAACAACAACAACAACAACATTATAAAAGGAGAAAATGTTACCACAAGATAAAGGTAAACAATCCAATTGAAAAATGGGCACAGGAAATGAACAGACACTTCACCATAGAAGACATTCAGATGGCTAACAAGCACATGAAGAAATGTTCAAAATCCCCAATTCTAGGAGAGATGCAAATAAAAATGAGATATCATCTCACCCCAGTCAGAATAGCAAAATTTAACAGAACAGCAAACAACAAATCCTGGCGAGGTTGTGGAGAAACTGGAAACCTTATTCTCTGTTGGTAGAAGTATAAAATGGTGCAACCACTGTGGAAGGTGGTGGTGTGCTTTCTCAAAAAGTTGCAAATACCCTCAGGGTGAGCTCCTCAGTCCCCAGATTGTGCCATCTGACCCCTGGGTGGGGAAGGAGGGAAAAAAA